TAGTAAAGAAAAAGAAGGGGTATTATTAATGTCAGATAAAGTAGATAATAGAGCAAAGAAAATTACTGGAGTCAAAAAGATGCACTACATAATGATAAAAGGATGGATACACCAAAAATATATAGAGATCCTAAGATGTGTAGGATTTGCAACAGAAGTGCAAAACACATAAGGCAAAACCTGCTAGAACTAAAAGGAGAAATAGAAAAAGCCACAATTACAGTTGGAGACTTCAAAACTCCTCACTCAACAATACATATAAGAATTAAACAGAAAATCAGCAAGATATAGAAGTCAACAACACTATCAAATGATGGGATCTAAACAATTTACAGAACACTCCACCCAACAGTATCAGAATACACATTTTTTCAAGCGCCCATGACATAGTTTGGATATGTTTGTCCCCCGAAACTCATGTTGAAATCTTATCGCCAACATGGCAGTATTGGGAGGTGTTTGGGTCATGGGGGCTGATCCTTCATGAATAGATTAATGCTCTATGGCACAGAGGGTGAAGGGGGTGAGTTCTGGCTCTATTAGTTCCCAGAAGAGCTGGTTGTTAAAAGAAACCTGGCACCTACCTCCATCCCTGCTTTCTCTCACCATGGAATCTTCTTGCACTCACTGGCTGCCTGCCATGAGTGGAAGCAGCCTGTGGCCCATGCCAGATGTGGCTGTCCCATAATCATGAGTCAAATAAACCTCTTTTCTTTATAAATTACCCAGTCTCCGGTATCTGTTACAGCAACACAAAAATGGACCTAATATAGCCCATGAAACATATATTAAGGTAGACCATATTCTGGGCCATGAATAAACCCCAACAAATGTGAATGAATTGAAATCATAAAGAAATGTGTTCTCTAACCACTAAGGAATCAAAGTAGAAATTAATAACAGAAAGATAACAGGAAAACCTGCAAACTCTTGGAAGCTAATAACTCAGTTCTAAATAATCCATTGGCCAGAGAATCTCAAGGGAAACCAAAAAATACATTGAACTGAATGAGAATGAAAATACAATATATCAAAACTTATGAGATATAGTTAAAGTAGTACTGAGAAAGCAATTTATAGTACTAAATGCATACATTAGAAAAAGAGGAAAAGTCTGAAACCAACGATCTAAGCTCCCACCTCAAGAACCTAGAAAAAGAGCAAACTAAACCCAAAGCAAGTAGAAGGAAGGAAATAATAAAGAACAGAAATCAGTGAATTTGAAAAAAGAAAAGCAAAAGAGAAAATCAATGAAACAACAAGCTAGTTTTTTTTTAAAAGATCAATAAAATTGACACATCTCTAGCAAGACCGACAAAGAACAAAGAGCAAAAGAGAGAAGACAAACCACCAATATCAAGAATAAAGCAGGAAATATCGCTACAGATCCTCCAAATGTCAAACAATAATAATGTAATGCTACTAACAGCTCTACACACAAGTTGAGTACTTAGGGAAAAAAAATGGATCAGTTCCTCAGAAAATACGAACTACCAAAATTCACTCAATATGAAATACATAATTTGATTAACCCTATTAAGGAAAATGATTTTGTCATTTTAAAATTCCCAGGAAAGAAATCTCTTGGCCCAGATGGTTTCACTGAAGAATTCTACCAAACATTTAAGGAAGAATTAATACTGATTTTATGCAATGTCTTTCCAGAAAATAGAAGAGGAGGGAATGCTTCCAAATTTATCTTATGAAGCTAGTATTAACTGATACTAAAGCTAAACAAAATAGTACCAAAAAGAAAAGTATGTACCAATATCCCTCATGATTGCAAATTTTAAAATCCTTAACAAAATAGAATTCAGCAACATACGAAAAGAATTATAAACCATGGCCAAATGGGATTTCTTCCAGAAATGCAAGACTGGTTCAATACTTGACAATCAATTGATGTAATCTATCATACTAACAGGCTAAAGAAGAAAAATCACATGAACATATAAATCGAAGCAGAAAAATTTTTTTGACAAAGTTCAATATTCATTTATGTCAAAAACTCTGAGAAAAAAAGAGAAAGAGGGGAACTTGATAAAGAGCATCTACAAAAAACCTACAGCTAATATCATATTTAACAATGAAAGACAAAATGCTTTCCCCCTAAGATCAAGAACAAAACAAGAATGTCTGCCCTCACCACTCATATCTAACATAGTGCTGGATGTTCTAAGCATGCAGTAAGGCAAAAAAAAAAAAAAAAAGGAAATAAAAGGCATACTGATTGGAAAGGATAAAATAAAACTGTCCCTATTTACAGATGACATGATTGTGTACATAGAAAATCCCAAGGAATCTACCCCCAAAAAACTCCTAGAAATAAGTGAGTTAAGCAAGGTCACGGAACACAAGATAAACATACAAAATTCAATTGTATTTCTATATTCTATCAATGAACAAGTGAACACCAAAATTAAAAATATAATGCCATTTACACTCACTCAAAAAAATGCTTAAGTGTAAATCTAACAAAATATGCACAGGATTTATATGCTGAAAACTATAAAGTGTCAATGAAATAAATCAAGGAAGATCTAAATAAATGTAGATACATACCCAGGTGTTCATGGATTGGAAGACTCAACAGAGTAAAGATATGGATACCCCCAAAATTGTTATGAGAATCCCAGCAGGTGTTTTTTATAGATATAGACAAGAGTATTCTAAAGTTTATACAAAAAGACAAAGGAATTAAAATTGCTAAAACGATTTTGGAAGAGAGGATAAAGTTGGAGGAAATGTTCTACTTGATTTCAAGACTCACTACATAGCTACAGTGATCAAGAGTGTATGGTGTTGGTGGAAGGATAGACACATAGATGAATGGTACAGAATAGAGAACCCAGAAATAGACCCACGCAAATATGCCCAACTGATTTTTGACAAAGGTGCAAAACCAGTTCAGTAGAGGAAGCATAGCCTTTTCAACAAATGGTGTAGGAACAATTGGACCTCCCTAGGCAAAAAAACGAACCTCAGCCTAAATCTCAAACCTTACACAAAAAATAAGGTCAAAATAGACCACAAATTTAACTTTAAACATAAAACTAGGGCTGGCCTGTGGCTCACTTGGGAGAGTGCGGTGCTGATAACACCAAGGCCATGGGTTCGGATCCCTATATAGGGATGGCTGGTTTGCTCACTGGCTGAGCGTGGTGCTGACAACACCAAGTCAAGGGTTAAGATCCCCTTTCCGGTCATCATTTAAAAAAAAAAAAAAAAAAAAACACTATTCATCTTTTAGAAAAAAAAAAAAAAAAAAAACAGAACAAAATCTTTGGGAGCTAGGGTTAGACAGAGTTCCCAGACTTGACACAAAAAAACATGATTCATAGAAAGAAAAATTGATAAATTGGACTTAATCAAGATTTAAAACTTTTGCTCTGGAAAAGACCCTGTTAAGAAGATGAAAGACAAGCTACAGACTGGAAAAAAATATTTGCAAACCACATATCTGACAAAGAGCTAGTATCTAGAATTTATAAAGAACTCTCAAAACTAACAGTAAAAAATGGTCCTATTAGAAAACAGGCAAATGACATAAAAACATTTTACCAAAAAGGATATGGCATAGATGGCAAATGAGCACATGAAAAGATGAGCATAGTTGGCCACCAGGGAAATACAAATTAAAACCACAATGAGATATCACTAAACACTTATCAGAATGACTAAAATTTTAAAATTATGACAATACCAAATGCTGGTGAGGATGCAGAGAAACTGGATCACTTTACAACGCCGGTAGGAACATACAGCCACTCTGGAAAATAGTTTCTTGAAAAATAAACATACACTTAGAATATGACACAGCAATTGCCCTCCTGGGCATTTTTCTCAGAGGTATGAACTTATGTTCACACAAAAATCTATATACAGATGTTTATAGCAGGTTTATTTGCGATATCCCCAAACTGGAAACAACCCAGCTGTCCTTCAACAAGTGAATGGTTAAACTACAGTAAATCTGTGTCATGGAATACTACTTAGTATTCTATATGTCATGAATAGTGAGATTTGATACATTCAACGATTTGGATGAACGTCCACTTTCCTCATGTATAACAAGGAAGGAGTTGTCTCGAGGGCCTTCCTATTTGAGGATTCAAGACACAAGTGAGTAGGGTGGGGCAGAATGAGAGCATATTTGAAAGAGCTTAAGGCGTTCCCCCCCCCCCCCAGAAGTTTTAGAGATTCAAAATAATCAGAAAGAAGTGGCTTGATTTATGCTGGTTGTGGTGCTTTATGGGTATCCTAGGGAGCCCATTTTGGGAGCTGGGGGCCCAGGAGAAGGGGCATTTAGGTGAGGTACATTCTGTTGGCACAAGCCAAGAGATCTGCTCAGTTGTAGTGAGTGGTTATAAGGAGAATGGCTGTGGCCTTCTTACACCGAGATGGAACTGGGTGGCTTTTAGGTGAAAATAGAAAGGACTCCGTGTTTCCACGAACGTAAGAAAATGTATTTCTTCTGATACACAAAGATTAAGGATTCACCTGAACAACCAGAGAAAGCCCCACTGCCTTCTGAACACTAGAAGCAATATGAAGTCCAGGGTCAGAGCACATTTAACTGACGATGGCATAGTACTACTGCTGGTGTCTCCGTTGTGTTCAGAGTTCTAAATGAAGTAGGCGGTAAGAGCCAATGAAATATTCTAGGAGCCCAATTATTCTAGGTACACACATCGCTGAAAACCATAATCTCACTGGAGGTATTTGAATATTTGAATCCCGCTAAAATTGGAAGCAACAGTTGCTACGGGTTCTTCTGGGGACGTATTTATAGGGTCTCCCAACAGCCAGGCGTGTTTGGGGGGCGTGAGAGCCAACGGCCAATCACGGAGAGGGTTGCGAATCCGGTGAGCGCCAATGCTAGTGAGGTGAACACAGCACGGCGGCTAAGGCAGGCCTATTCGGTGGCTTGAACTGTTAGGCTGAGCTGTCGTTGGTAATTTAGGGGCCACCAAACCAGTTCCTGCCTGCCATTAAACATCATGGAGGATCCGCAGAGTGAATATCAGCGGATGATGAGACGCCACCACCGCGAGAAGAGGGAGCTAGAGGAACGCATCTACACCATGAAGAATTTGGTCCCCAAGAGTGACAGGAAGAGAAGAAAGCAGTTGCTCCTAGACGTGGCCCGCCTCCAGGCCGAATTGGAGCAGAAGCACCGGCAAGAGGTGGAGAAGTTCCGAGAGAGATACCCTGACAATAGCGACCTCGATTCTGTCACTGAAGATCTGGCCAAGATTGATCTCGAGAACAAGCCTCCCAGCCTGTTGAGGGCCCAGAAAAGGTGGGAAAGAAGGGCGGCCCTTGAGAGAGCACGCCGGGAGAGGATCGCCGAGGCCGAAAGGGAGCGCCGGACCAGCTTCGGTCGCGAAGAGGAGAAGAAGCTCACCGCCATCCTGCGGGCCAGGAATCTGGAGATGAAGGATATCCCGGCCGACGGCCACTGCATGTACCGCGCCATCCAAGACCAGCTGATGTTCTCCACGACCGTGGAGAGCCTGCGTTCCCGCACCGCCACGTACATGCAGAAGCACGTCGACGACTTCCTGCCCTTCTTCAGCAACTCCGAAGCCGGCGATGCCTGCAGCCGCGAAGACTTCATGAGGTACTGCGACGACATCGTGCACACCGCGTCGTGGGGAGGCCAGCTCGAGCTGAGGGCCCTGTCGCACATCCTGCAGACCCCCATCGAGGTGATCCAGGCCAGTTCGCCCGCCATCGTTGTCGGGGAGGAGTACACCAAGAAGCCGCTCACCCTCGTCTACCTGCGCTACGCCTGCAGCTTTGGGGAGCACTACAACTCAGTGAAGCCGCTCCAGGCGGGCCCTGTCGGGGTCCGGGCCCCGCGTCTCTTCTAGGCCCGATCCCGCCACAGAGCCCGGCAGTGGCCGCTACCGTTGCTATGGCCTTTGCCATTGACGCCGTCGGTCGCCACCGCGTTGCTGCTGAAACTCAAGCCGCCGACGCGTCTCCTCAGTAGGCTCCATTTTTTTTCCCCCCTCTGGTTTTCTCGGTTTCTTTCTTTCTTCGTTTGACTCAAAATTTAACGCCCTGCCCCGACTTCTCTGCCTTGCCCTTCTACCCTCCTCTCATTCCTTGTTGCGTCTTTCATGGAGTGGGGGACAGCAGAGTAATTAAGAGGAAGATACCTGCATGGCACTACCCGACGGGCATTAGTTTAATAAGGTCTAACCTCTTTTTGCCTGCTCTTAAGCATCTTTGCCTCCCTCACTGACTGAGCATCGGTCATGTTGCAAATAACTTTGGAATAAAAATGGAAACGTTTGGTTTGACACGTTCTTAACTTGGGAAAAATAAGTTTAGTAGAATAGCTCATAGCCTTCAGACTTTTCCCATGAGTACTCGGATTTAGGTAAAGTTGTGGTTTATGTGATCAAAATGCTTTGTGAATGCCTTTTGCTGAGTTTTTTGGGGAAAAAAATAATCGGGATGTTTTTTGGTTTGCTTTTTATTTGAGCTGGCCTTCTCGGGAGACGTCTCAATTTATGAACAAGAGCTCTGCTAGTACTTTGTTTTGTTTTCTCATCAAAATTTGTGTGGTTCCAAACTTATTTTAGTTGCTCAGATGTTTGCAAAATTCTAAATAACAGCGTTTGTTAAATTTAGAAGGTAAATGTGTGTTAAATATGGAAAATAAATTTATATGAACCGATAGGCTAAGTTAGGTTTTACTTTAAGATGTAAATCTGAGTTTCCTTTTTTTAACAGTTGTAAGGGATATGACTTTATTCAAGTAATTGATCGATGTCATTATCTCTACAGCTGGTATGAAGCAAAAAAAGACAGATTTATAGGTGATTTAACTTACTGAAAGGGGTGAAGAGCTGAATCTAGTGTTTCTTTTATTCTTAGAAATATAAAAGGCTATGACCTTACTGAAGTAGTTGGTCCACCTTGTTATGTCAATTGGTATAAACTGTAAAAGATCTGAATTTAATAACTTTCCTTAATTCTGAGAGATAGAAAAGTATTAAAAAGAAGATTTTTAAAATATTAAAGTAGTTGATCCACTTTGTTATATCAACAACTGGCATGAGGCCACAAAAAAGTGAATAATAGACTTTTGTTGATATTTGAGACTTGTTGATATCTTGGAATTGCCTAAACAATAGTATAAATTAAATGACTGACAGTAAACAATTTTTTAAAATTTTAATCTTCATATCCTGTATTTCAGTGTGTTTACATAAATTTATTTGAAAATTCATTGTACATTCCAGATGTTCTAAAATAAAATACATAAGTTCAGAAATTTAAAAAATATGCAGTTTATTTAAAAAATAAAAGTAGTTTAAAAAATACCTGTTTCTCTATTTTTGTGTAGCTGACTTAGTTCATGTAGTTTGTATCCCAGGATCCACTTCAGCAAAGGAATCCTGGAGGGTCAGGGAGCAGGGGTGGGGGGTAACAGATGCGACTTTGGGGAGGAGAAATGGGCCTGCAGTCTTGGTGGTGGCCTGGAGTGGACTGTTTCCCAGGTGAGGATTTAGGGAGGAACTTTACCTTGAGGCTGCCCTGAGCTGATATTTCACTCAGGGAAAAACATCTTGAAATAGTTTCATTTAAGGATGTTCTCATTGCTGTGTATGAAAAAGAACCCCCACTAACAAAAACTCACCAGTCCAGGACTGTATTGCAGGAGAGAAAGAAGCATCACTATGTTTTCTTTTGAGGTGTTCCCAAAAGTCAAATATGGAAATCATGCCAGATAGCCCACTGTGAAAATGTGTGTATCAGATCAGTTTTAGCTAGCCAGCTGGCCTAGAAGAGGAGGTCCTGAGAAACCTGCTATTTAAGTGTATTGTGAGAAGAGAGCCTTTTGTAGTGATGGGAGCACTGGCTGGGGAAGGCAGTACGGGTTGGGGAGGAAGGGGGATGATGGACTGAGGGAGGGGACATAGGCAGGCAAGGTAGAATAGGCCAGGAAGAGAGATGTAATCTTCAGAAGGGGACTTGTCTGGGAAGGAGGGTGCAAGTTGGGGACTGTGGCAGCCTGGGAGGATGAATGAGGCATGGCAGAGGAAAGTGGAACAAGCTGGGTGCACAGGCTGAGAGGAACGGGGCTGACTGGGTAACAGGGCATACGTGATGAAGAGAGCCGGGCTGGGGGAGGGGACCTGGGGCACAGGCCGGTGAGGGGTGCCTGACTGGGGACATGGGCAAAGAATGGTGAAGGGTTCTAGAAATGGGAAAGGCACGTGGGTGAAGGAGTCCTAACAAGAAAGGTCACGTGGCTGGGGAGGGTACTTGGCAGGGGAGGGAGAGCGGAGAAAGGCTGGGGAAGGAGGCACTGTCTGGGAGAGGCCAGTGAAGGGGCAACTCCTTGGAAAAGTAGTCCTATTGAAAAGGAGAAAGGCTGGGGACAGGCACCTGGCTGTGGGAAGGAGGCCCTTTCTGGGGAAGGGGTCCCACATGGGGAAGGGGACATAGGGTTGAAAAGGGGCCTGGGTCAGGGAAGGGTAGACCGGCTAAAGAGGCTGTCATCAGCGTCTCAGGTTGGGAGTGGGCTCTGGGCTGAGTGAGGGCCTGGGTGGTGTAGAGGACTTGGCACTGGAAGGGGGCCTGGGAGGGGAAGGGTCCTGCATGAGGAAGGGGACAGGCTGGGGCTGAGGCCTGCCTGTGGAGGGGAGGCCGGAGGCATAGGATGGTAAGGTGGCCCTGCTGAGACATAGGGTGGGAAACCTGTGGTTAGAGGCCAGAGAGGTGGACACAGACGGGTAAGACGGTGACTCAGAGGGGGGTGCCAATCTGAAGAAAGCATAGGCTGAAGAAGAAGGTCTGACTGTGGAAAGGGGCCTGGCTGGGCTAGGGGACATAGGCTGCGAAAGGGGCATCAAATTGGGTCGGGAAGCCTGCCCAGAGACAGGGATATGGGGGTACAGGGCCCCAGCCAGAATAGAGTTCCTGCATGCTGGAGGTGGTACAGGCTGGAGATAAGTGTTCGGACTGGGGTAGGTTGCCTGTTTGCCAAAGAGGGCCTACCTGTCTAGGGGAACAGGCTGGGGAGGGGGAACACCTGGGGCAGGGGGCCTGGGTACGGTTGCTGCTAAAGCGGGTACTGGCTGGGAAATGTGGCCTGGCAGGGGAGGGGGGTATGGCTGGGTATAGAGGGAGCATGTCTAGCAGGGGAAAGGGACCTGTCTGGGGAAGGGGGCCTAGGTGGAGAGGAAGGCATAAATGGATGAAGACAGCCTGGCTAAATGAGGGGGCCTGGCTGAGAAAGCAGCCATGGCTAGAATCCAGGACACAGGCAGGTTAAGGGCTCCTAATGGGGGGAGGGCAGGCAGCATAGAATGCGGAGCAGGTAGGGAAGGGAGGACCACCTGGGAAAGGGGACCTGGCTCTATAAGGTGGAATAGAATGAGGAGGAGAGAGGAAAGGGGAATAGGCTGGTGACGAGGACAATGAATGCTGAAGGGGGCCTAGTTGGTATAGGGTACAAGTTGGTGTAGGATGGAAAGGGGATTCCTGGCTTTTTTGAAGGGGGAAGGGCTAGAGAGTGGCACCTGGCTGGGGGAAGAGTCACATGCTAGGGAAGTCTGGGGGGCTTATTGGCACATACGTCTCGTGGGGGGCTGGCTGAGAGTGGGGCACTGTTGCAGGAGAAAGATGCCCTGGCTGGGAAAGGGAGTTAGGCCAGCAGGGGCCCTAACTGGGGAAGAGGGCATAGGTTGGTGAAGAAGGCACTGCCTGGAAAATGTGGGCCTTGCTAGGGGGTGGGGCTGGTGCTGCCCAAGGAATCCTGTGACAGCTGACACCAAAAATGGTAGAATCCCATTTTATAGGCTTGTCCTGAATACAAGAGAAATAACTATTCCTATCTTGGGAACCCTTAACATCTCACTGGGCCTCTCCCCAGCTGCCCTCACTGGGTTTGCCATCAGCAGGAAGCAGAGGGAAGCATTAATCCAGGCCAGATCTTAACCATTCCCAGAGCACAGAGGGGGCCTCCACTGGGATCTGGCAGGACATGAGGGATTTGCAGTCTGTCCCATTCTGTAACAGTGACTGCAGTCACTGGGGACAGAGACTGTTCTGGGCAATTTTGTGTGTGAAAGCCATGGGGCACTGTTCTCAAAGGGATCCAATTCCAGAAGCAACTTTCATTCATTTATTTACTGTTTTTATTTACTCATTATCATACCCTCTTCCCTCTTGCCATAGCAGCCAAAACTAAGGTGCCTCTTAAATGCACAGATGGGCTCTGGAGTCAGACATCTATCTGGGTTTGAAGACCAATTCACCTGCACATTTCCTAGTTTTATGACCTTGGATAAGTCACCTAATCATTTTAGGCCTGTTTCCTCATTGATAACATGGGGCAATTAATACTTGTCTTAGAGATAGCTCTTGAGAACGTTAGGAGCATTAAATGAAATACATATAAAGTGCAAACAAATAAATGTTGGCTACTGTTAGTATCATTGTCTAGGACCCCCAAAACATAATATTATCAGCTCTGGCAGTAGCCACTCCTTGATTATGTCTACAGTAACTTTTGGGGCCACTTGGCCTCTTCCCCCAGGTCCTGCGGTGGAAGCAGATCCTCCCCCAGGACTGTCTGCCCCAGGTATTGCTTCCAGACCCTAAGTGCCCTCATGCGGACAGGGTGACCTACACACAGGGTCTCCTCAAGCCAGTTAGAGTGTCTTTCTTCCAGGCTTTTTCTACACAAACACATAATAGACTCACATATTTGAAAAAACAAGATTGGTATCATTCTATTAAGATTGCTCTTTTAAAACTTAACAATGCATTTCCCTGTGTCCTTAAAAAGTCTTCAATATGATGATTTCAATGCCTGCATTCTAGCCAATGACTGTGCCATTATTTATCC